AATAAAGATGATAAACGAAAATTACCATTTGTTGAAGATGGATATAATACATCAGTTACATCAAATGTAAAACAATCTCAATATATGAAAAATCTTATGATTATAAAATCTAATGATTTATTTCGATTAAATACAGACTTTAGTTGTGTTTATAAAATAATAACTTATTTATCAATTAATATTGAATTACCACCACAAATAACTGAACTTGTTATTACTGATGAAACACGTAAATATTTTTGAATAAACATATAAAAAAAAACACTGAATTGATTATTTTACTAAACTTTTAAGGCATTGCGTCGATAAATTCTATAATTCAACCATCAATTCGTCATTTAACTGTCGAACGTGTTTTAAAAGATGAAACAGAAATTGGTATATATGCTCATCAATTTCCTAATGTCAAATATTTAAAATTATTTTTTCCATATGACGAATTTCGCTTTATTAATTGTTTACAGACCGTATTCACTGTAACTGACAAAACTAATGGAAATCGTCGAAGATGGCTTCAACTAATAAATTTTTCAACTAAAGCATTATATAACACATCTCGTGTTATTTTTGATGAAAATGACATACATCATTGGCTTATTAATAAAACTGATTTAAAATATGTTAAAAATAGATTTTATGCTGATAAATTTGATGGAATGTTATTTATTTGGTTTTAGAATTTTTTTTTAGTGAAGTGATCGTATTGAACGAATAAAAAAATAAATAGTAAAATGAGTGTTACTTTTTTATTTGATCATTTCCAATATTCAGTTACTAATATAATTCAAATCGTATTTCGGAATGTGATTAAGACCCGTATTTTATTCAGTTAATGATGATTTTACAAAAGCATTCATGATTAAATAGCTTGCTTACAACATAAAAATTTATAATCTTGAGGGCGTGAGTGTGGTTGCTCATTTGGGTAAGGTGTGGGTGTATAAAGGAAACATAGGAAACCACACCCTCAAGATGAATGATATTAACAGATTTAATAAATACATAAGTAAAAGGTGAAAATTCGTAGCGTTTATCTATGTTATTGAGACAAAGTACGGCAACGTTTGAGTGAATTAAAAAGAGTAGTTTTATAAAGATGAGATGGTAATACAAAAATGAATAGTATTGCTGTATGTGGAATAAATGAGACAAAAAATGCAGTTAAATAAACCAATGTAAATGTTGATCCAGTTCCACTATAATAATGATCATTACATACATAAAGAAAAGAAACGATTAAACGTGGTAAAGCAAATAATGCTAAGAAAAGAGGACCAATAATAAGATGTTTATGTTCACGTAGTTGTTGTAACCAAATAAATTTTTCATTTTCTTTTTTTATTATTTGTTTAGCTCGAGTAGTTTTAATTATAACTATTAAAGATGAGATAATATGAACAAAAAATGGACATATAAGATGAATAATATCCATTATTGAATTATATTTATTAAACCAAGATGCACTTGGATATTTTACTACACACCAACCTCGTTTACCTTCTGGTTCAATAAAAACATGTCGATGTAATGGATCATGAATCTAATTAAAATGAAGAAGACAATATTTAAATATAAGCAAAGAATTTACTGTAATGAGTATATTGAATAACAGAATTATCCATACAAGCCATCGAGCAATTAATTGACTTCTTTTCTGATTAAAACTGATACCAAGTATAATATTTATAAGTCTCTCAATAGATACACAAACATTCAACCAAGTTGCACATTGAGGTAAATATTTAAGAAAAAATTCCATAAGTAAACATGATATATAGTTTGGTATTGTTGATGAAGGAATTTTAATAAGATAGATCATTTTAATAGAAAATATAATTAATGTTCCAATACTAAATAATGATGAATACAAAAGATAAATTCCACAACCAACTTTACGTGTATTTGAATGGATAAATGTTATTGTAGATAAACTATTAAAAATAATTCCAAAAGAAATCATAACAAGACTAATGATTAAATAAATATTTGTAATTAATGGTGATGTATCAATATATGGACCAAGTAAAGCATCAAGTGATAATGAATAATTATGAACGGAAAATTGACAATATGTACCATATGAACAAACAGGACACAAACAAAATGTTTCCGTTGGACATTGACGAAAGTTTTGAACACAAATACCTTCATTTTCACAAATATTTTGTTTTAAATCACAATTAAACATTTCAGTTTTTTTCATTGGAAAACAATGCGAATACAGATAAGATAAATCTGAAGAAAAATAATCGAACAATTTAATTAAACATTTCAATTCATGTCTATTTATTTACCTAAATTTGAATAACATAAACATAAATTAAAATCATCAGAATAACATTGTAAATTGCTGTTGCTTTTACATATTAATTGATGATCAGATGTATTATTAATATTAATTATATTTTTATAGTTCATATTTATAGAACGAAGTTCTCGTATATGTAAACATCGAGTGTGGCTTTGAATGTTACCAGAATAATCCTTGAAAATACCAGCATAATCATAATTAATCGTCACAAAATAAAAATTTTCTCGGTCATTTTCATTTCTACCAAATGATTGTGCAATTACAATTTGTAACATATTCGGTAAATAATAACCAGATCTAAAAATGTAAAAGAAAAACTTCATACATGAAGAGAGGAAGTATTTCTGTAGGTATTTAGCTCAGAGAAGCCCTTATAGTTGATTAGAAAGACTGAAAACTGAAATAGTTTAAGATTTATCACAGGGACCACGGCTGTAGTTTTGAATAATTTTTCAGACCATTATCAGCGGTTAAGCTGCATGGCTTACACTTCTACGTGCGAAAGAAAGCAATTTATTCCTTAAATTTCTTTTGTTTTCTGGATTATTTAAATGGTATCTGACTAGTCGTATAGTATTGAAGAGCAATCTGGCAAACGTTTTTACATGAATGTTTCTCTAAAAAACTTGGTTGAAAAAGAAAGCTATTGCTTCTCATAAAGAACCGATTATCATTAAACTTTTCTGCATAGATTTCGCTAAGAAAGTATAGTGATTGATCACAAATAATCGCTATTACTTCCTATATTTTTCTATATAAACATTGACTTCTCTTTTATAATCAAAATAAATAGTAAATTTTGTTTTATTCAAATAAATACGATTGCTTTTCTTTTAATAATCATCGAAATAAACTTACTCAATATCTACTATCACCCTACGTTCTTCTATATTATAAATGATCAGACCATTATGAATAACATCTGATGAAATTTTTCTGAAGATTGTATATCGTAATGTATCGTTGTCCTTCATAATATTAATAAAATGAAAAAGGAAACCTTCCGTATTAAGTATTTGTTGTTCTTGTGAAAATTTTATTATTATTTTTGCTTTATTAAATTGACAATTCGGTCCCCAAAAATGTTCTCCACATAAACATTGGTATTGTGTTATTGTACGTTCATCTAATGGTATGCAACGACCATTATTCATACAAGGATTTGAATTACAAATATCAAATGAAACACGACATTGAGGTCCTAGTCGTCCTTGACTGCAAACACAAATATTAGGTGTAACACAAGCCGATCCAGTTGAACATGTATATTGACATTGATCATTATTAATAATACATATAATTTGTGATGGATTATTATTAATTGATAAAACACACTGATGATTATTAAGATGAGAACAATAATCACACACAAAGCGATGAGATGGTTTTTCAGGTATGAAAAGTTGAATAGCAAGTCGATTAATGGGTAGAAATGTAAAAGATAAAGGACGATAAATCCATGATGACCAATAATTACTAATCATTTGGCGAATAGCAAATGCATCAATACGTACATAGATATTTTTGCGATCGAATGTTGTTGTATAACGTGGATATGGTAATGTGATCACAGTTTTTTTTTGACAATCAAGACGAGATACATAATAAATATATTCCGAACTAATAATTGTTTCGGAATGATTGTTATTATGGATGAGCATTATAACCAAAGAAAATGAATCATATTGTTGATCAAAATAAGTTGATTTCATCACTTGAATAATTATAGATACATGTGCTTGTTGATATTGACATCGATTTCCATAATAAGAAGGTGGACATAAACAAGTATTATTATCATCAATGAGAATACCTCGATGACAACCCCAAACAGCAAATTGAGATAATGATGAAGATTTTAATTGAATTGGTTTCAATGCATCCTCTAACGAAAACAATAAATCCATGGGTATCGTTGACCATATATTAGACGGAATAAACACACTAAGGATAAAAACCAATTAATTTCATATATATTTCAAAAAATTCTTTAATAGATTTCATTTGAGAAATACGAAAAATAAGCACATATCCTTATTTATCTCTTATATGAACTACAGATCTATCTTTTGTTAATTAAAAACATTCATGATCAGTATATGGAAATTCAATGAAACATACCTATCGTTAAATGACAATAATTGATCATCTCGTAAACGTTCACAATTACGTGAATATATATCGTCAGCTTTGCATTGTGGAGGAAATTTTTCATCGCTTGCATCTGGACAATCACGGATGTTATTTTTAAGCATATATCGTGTAATACATAGATGAAGTGATAAAGGGCAAACAACTCGATGTGGTAAATTTAATGAGCACACATCAATATTTTGTTTTTCATCCATTGCACCAGCACAATCTGGAAAACCATCAACAAATCGATGAATAGGAATTACTTTTGTTGAAATAGGTGAGCATGACATCATATAACGATTGATTAACTGTTGTTTCTCTATATTAACAGTTATGACTGTTGGTACACAATCACGAAAACTATCTTTAACAACATCCAATAAATCTTCCCACTCTACATCCATATTATTAAAATTCATATAGTTATCGGAAAAAAATGTCGGTAAATATGGAAATGAATTATATGGTCGACATATTAATTGAACACCATCATCTGTTATCATTAATGATTCTATACTTGGATCTCTAGAATTATAAAAGATCTTGAGTGTGGGTGACGAAGCGAAGTAAGCAAGCGCATCGTTATAGAAGATACTTGAATCCCTCTATCTTCAACATAAAAATTCTCCAACCATCGTCAGATACTTATACTCATTTTTTAAAGTATTTATCATCTAAGAAAACATGAATATATACTTACACAAGTGGTGGTAATCGACAAGCACGTTGATCGTAACAGATATCTTCGGGATGTATCTTATATCGCCAATGAAGAGCGCTACGATTAGTGTGGTATCGAAAGTATACGATATCGATTAATACAGGACCAGAAGGAAAAATAAAATATGGTTTTGGGCATACTATAGAAATATTATGTGCACAATTACGTTTAGGACATATAAATTTACAATCAACACGATTTCCATAAACATCATATGGTTGAACTTCTAGCATACAAGCAACATATTGTGCACAAAGTGTTGAGAAATTATAAACACTGTTTGAATGAATATGATCTCGATATGATGTACAAACGGTCATAATATGCCCTACAGGAAATTTTGTACCTGCATATGATACTTTACTACATATACCATCACCACATGAAAAATCTAATGAACCTGTATTACAACGTCGTACATCGCATTCACTCCACCAATTATCTGAGCATCTATCAAACTCGAGTTCGTACCGTGAATATTTTTCATCGCTTCTATCAAAACAATCATAATCAAAATCAAATGCAAAACTTTTTGGAATACAAAGACCATTACGACATCGAAATTCATCTTGTTTGCATTCACTAATATCTAATTGCCAACAATCCTTTTCATCATCACCATTAATACAATCGAATTTACCGTCACAAATTTCACGGTGATCAAGACAAAGAAGATCATTTTTATAAAATCGTTTACATTCAGGTAAGCTAGTATAACATGTAAAACCTGTTATTTTATCTGTGACCGAAATTCTTTTACGGGCTTCAAAACGATCCTTGAGATATTCAGTAAATGATTTTACTTGTGATTCATATTCACATTTCTTACCAAATCGAATCGGTAACACAGCAGAACAATTAAAAAAGATCATTTTGCTAAGATTCGTTTGATTTTCTGATTGAAAGATTATATATTGTTCAATAAGATCGATCGGTGCTTGCCAAAGAAATAATTGAGATGCTGTTATATTATGCTCTTGTAATTCTTCAAACGTAGAAAAAGGAATTCCTTTAACGCCTTCTTTTGATGTAGTTTCCGGCTGTTTTCTTTCATCCATTGATGGACGACGACAATAAGATACTAACACAGTCGTTCGTGAATGAAGAAAATAGTCAGGTTGGTGTAGTGCGTCATCTGGTTTTGACCATGAATGATGGAAATGAATACAATCATGATCAAGATTAATATTTTGTTCAAAAATTGTATTGTATAAACGAAATGATGAATGAACAACACTTATATTTAGTGTTAACCAAAGTATATTTATATAATTTGAAAACAATTTATATATTTCCATAATATAAAGATAATTTAAAGTAGTTATTTGATTTTTTAATGTTAAATATTTCTTATGTCGTATGCTGATCGCGTTTCTCAATTCAATGAAAATGATTCTCAAACAGAACTGATTTCTACGATGTTCAACATTCCGGAGTAGGATATATAAATATTTATTTATTAGAATTTCACTGATTCACAGATATTTCATAATGAAAGCGCTATTTTATATTGGAAAATCAATAACTATTTAATAAAAATGTCGTGTCGATTCATTAGTTTTTATGAATATAATATTTGATAATAGTAAATATTTTAATAAAAAATCAAACTTCCTAGACAGAATATTATTCATTAATAAAAAAAATAGAAGATTTTTTCATATTACGACTTCTTCCATTTTTAAAAGTCAACTCCAAATGGGTGTGGGTATGAGTAGTTTATTTACTCCACCAAGTCACATCCTATCATACCCTCATCCACACCCTATTGAAAGGTTACAGATATACAAATATCTATGACAGGTAATGATCTATATTGAACTTCGAAAGGTGAATATCGATGAAGTAGAAATTGACATTTATATTAAAAACGTTTAATTCTATGCAACAGATTTGTCAGAATAATAAATATATCTAAATATTTGACATGTAATATTTTCTACTTGATTAAAACGACAAGTCATGATTTTTTTTAGCTGTCATTGTTTTAGATAATATTCATCTAATATAATATCTGATAAAATATTTCTGGTAAATATTTAAAAGTACAAAAAGATTGCTATTACAATATCAAAGAATACAGTAGATATATATTTGAAATATATCAGTGAAACACGAGTACGAAGAAACATAATATAGACTTCTAATTAATAGTTTACATTTCATTATCAGCCAGATAATATATGCTAAATATATTACTTTGTTTCTATTTTATTGAAGTAGCAATGAAAAAATGATCACGCTATGCTATTAAATATGATATGTAATAACAGTGTTCGCATATGCCGTTTTAGGAGTGATTCTTATTTTCTTTTGATGCTATAATGATGGTGAGAAAGAATACTAGTTAACATATTTGTATATGTACCTATTAGTATTACGAAACAAAAGTAGACATTCGTCTCAAATGAATAATTTGCCTGAAGATGAGTTATCATTAAATTTGAAAACTCGCAATTTTCTTTTTTGTTGATACTTGTAAAGTTTCAATTTAAGAATAAATGATATTTATAGCAGTTCTTCACTTCACATTTTCGAAACTAAATGTTATGACTGCTAAGAATGGATTATTATCTGTCTTTATTTTATCTCTATTTATAAAGTAAAGATAAATCAACACACTTAATATATACCACTCATATAATATGATATGTTTTCAATGCTAAGAGAACTTTTTTCTTTGCATTGAATTGAATTTAAAACACATTTTTCGTGAAACATTTGAAGAATGTGGCTGTGGGTGTGTAAAGGAAATGCAGTCAACCGCACTCACGTTCTAATTGACACCCATACCCTTAAGATGCTCTAAATCAACAGACGGCAGCTTTAGCAGGACGAAAGATATGCTGGTAATAGTATATTTGTCGTGAGGTCCACCCGGACTCACAGCTGCGTTTTTTATCTATAAGAGTTATCCGTGATTTACAATAAGGCTGCTACAGACCAACATAGAACCAGAGATTAGATGAAATTATTGATTCCAAAAAGGAGCTCTTGATGTAGTAACGAATAAAAAACTGTGAAATGGGTCCGCATGGGTCCCACAACAACCATGAAGGGTTAAAATATCTTGAGAAAAACTGATACGATTCAGTAGCATAGTGCCTATGTTCATTACATCTGTTAAGCTCTTTAATGAGATTCAAAAGTGAAGTTTGACAGGATGACAACATAACTCTTATCATGTATTTCAACTGTCTGTAACATTAGCATACAAGACAATTTGACACTTGATTGACAATATGAAGAGGCGATTTTTCATATATTTTTTTCCATGCGCATATGTTAAATAACAAGTTAAGAGCCATATAAAAGTGATGTGTTGCAGTTTAGATTTGAAATGATGAAGATACTCCTCGTTTTTCTTTTTATTTCATCAAGCGAGCAACTTGTATGCATCTTCCGTAATAATTTTCAATTTTCAACAAACCCATTTGACGCAGAAAAATTTAAGACAGACGTGAATTCTTCACAACCGTTTCGTACTCAAATTCAAAAATGCCGAGTCGAGCTGACGTTTGATTATAATAAACAATTTTTAAGAGTAGCATTTCATCCAGAACGTCCTACACCCGGTAATGATAAACTTGGGCGACCTCGTTTTGTTACAACATTCTCTCTGGATTCAAGTGTATCGACGAATGAAAGTGTTCTTATTTATACTTGTTCAAAAACAGAAGCTTGCGATCGAGATTTTGTTCTCAATCTTTCTCCGTGGCAGTTGTATCATAACTACAGTCAACTGCAAATCGAAATGGCCGATATATTAATCAAGAAAAACAATGGGCCAGTTCGATGTATTGTAAAGTCATCGGAACAGAAACTTGAACAATGTGAAACAGAAATGTGTCGACTACAGATAGACGCACGCAACAATACATCTACGTATCATGGTCAATGTGTCGGCGATAAGAAAGCTTCAGCAAATGTGGAAATCACTAGTATTTCTGATGGTCAACTCTTTGTATTTAAACATCGTGTCCATTACATATGCATGTATGACGAATGTAACAATGCGATTACTGTGAATAAGGTTCTCAATGCTATTCTCCATTTGTATAACGTTTCGAAAATGTTCACCAATGAAAACATTGAAAATCAGCCATCATCTTCGGATCAGATACTATCAAATACGACAGAAGAAATAATGCCACTTGGAAATACAACAAAAGCAATAATGCCACTTGGAAACACAACAAAAGCAATAATGCCACTTGGAAATACAACAATGCTGATTCGTACATTGGTATTTAACAACCTAGATCAGACAACAACAGGTCCGAACAATACAGCTATGGTAAACTCTCAAACAGTATTCAAAACGGTTATGATTGTTTTGTTTGTTGTTCTCTCATACTTTAATCCATGACATGTGAAGGATGTGAGTGTGCGTCTGATTATGAATGAGATATGGATAAAATATCAAATCATCACTCAGATTCACACCCAAACACTCGACTGCTCGTGATTGAAGAGAAATTACACAATATTAAATCAGGTGTTTTTCTTTTAATTGAAAAGAGCCTGGTTTCTAATAACTGCCTCTTCTGTGATCGTGTAAAATGTCATTACACAATCTCTGTAAAAAGGAAACTCCATTACCGATTGGCTGATGGGTGTGAGTGATTATCTTCTTCATAGATTACATCCACACCTACACTCTGTGTTCTCGGGCAGTTATATATTTTTGACTTATCCACATTAGCTATTTCATCAAAAAGAACAGCCTTGGCAGTATCAGGCCGAGCGCATTTTGGCACTTACGAGTACTTGGAGAGACGTTTTTCAAGAAACTTACTCCTTTTCCGAAGGAGTGCGCTCTGTTCAAGCGTATTGAGATTATTGTAGTATAGTGATAGTAACTTCTCTTTCTTTTCGGAAATAAGTAATGTATATGGTCACGGTTTTCGTATGGGATGGGATCAATCTCATTATGAAGAGCAGTCGTTTGTTCAAATATGTCTCTCGGCAAAATTTGATCTGATGTCAAAATTAGATACAGTCTGTTCTGAACGATATAACTTTCTCGGATACTGATGTATAAAAGAAGTTGAAAAGAATGTAAGGAGCAATATGGACCTGCGTTAATGTCTGCATATTGCTTCTTTATTCCATTCGCCCTTGTCAAATTACTTCTTTTCAAAAGAAGATACGTTTCACTTGTGTTCAGCGACACGTATCAGAAGGATGCCTTATAGATCATACAGGGTCAAGCATTTCTCCGCTAACTGAAACAATTTTCCTATCGACCGGTCTTAGTGTTCACTGTAAGGGAGAACAAACTGATTATCATACTAGAAATCAAGTAGAAATCACAAGAATGTGGGTGTGGATGAGGGGTGTGTGTATGAGTGGGCGTGGGTGGCAGGTGAATACAGTATCTACTCCCACACACATCCCCAACTGATTTCCATACTAGAAATCATAAGAAATCATGGGAAACCACGAACATGAAATTATAAATCAAGAAATCAGAAAATCAGTTTGTTCCCCCTTGGTACACTGCTACAATAGTGACGACATACGCGAAGGTAGCTCTCTTGAGGGTGTGGGTATGGATGTGCGTATGAGTATTAGGATGTGGGCATATGATGAACATAATACTCATACCTACATCCATTTATTATTCATGTCACTGTTAAAGACTAAAATGAATCGAAAAACGTGATACATGCAAAAAAAACAATTAAATCTACTAGTGGCTATTGAAACTGTTGATGCCAGAAGTGCATATATGGTAACGTGTGCTCCGTATGATGCTGAACAAAAACAGAAAATCATCTACGGTCTCGAGAACTATTTTCCAATACAACTTCCATTAACTAGTCTAATCGATAAACTTTCGCTATAAACTAAGCTAGTAGATTTATTTGTAGACTGATATATTAAATCTAGTGATGGGCCAAAATATATTCGAATACAAAGAAATGCCGAATACTGTATATACGTAAGAAGAAAAGAAAGAAAAATTTCGTTTCGTTATCATCGTTAGTTTTTTTCTATGTTTGCAGGCATATTCGAATATCGCGAAAGCATTTTGCCTTCCTGTTACCATAAAGCTCTCTTTCTCTTAAAGAAGGACGACCTAATCGATTATTACGTTAAACATATACGATAACTCAATATAAGCAGGAATTTATATATATAATTTAATCATAAAATAATCGAGAAAATAAAATATCACAGCGATAGCTATAGATTTGTTTTACTGCTGGTTATCCATATTTTACCTCGATCAAAACAATATTATCTGTTCGATAACTTCATTCAATTTAACTGTGATGATAACTAGATCGAAACTAACATTATTTCTATGATTTTCAGATTAAAAAAGATATTTTTTTCCATTTGCTTCTATTTATATCTTGTTCTTCATTGTTATGATCAGCTCAAAGCGTTTTCATACGTCTGATACAGCATCAACTGATAATGATTACTCACAAGCATCAGCTGAGGATTCAGTCGTATTGTCTCCCAAAAATAACACCATAAATATCAAAACAGTAGTACCTTCTTCAATTACCGACACTCCTTCTAGACGAACAGTCAAAGCGAAGCGCAGTTCAGTATGGAGATATTTCAAATCCCCGTAGATAAATATTATGTATTTTATTACGTAAGAAACGTATTTTGTTCGTTGCGACGCGTACAAGTTGACTCATTTTTCGTTCTTCTATGTTCTTTACGACTATATTCGTAAGATAAAAGAATATATTATCCTTATTTCCTACGATTTACGAAGGAACGACACCTATATATATATGTGTATGTGTTAGATAAAACCATAACAGAAAAGGGAAAAGACCATGACACACTGTTAGAAGATATGGATTATTCCGCTATCTCACATAAATTTTTATCTAAAATATAATTTTGAAATGCTAAAAATTTTGATAATGTGGTAGTTTATCTCACCCTCAGGATAGTATAAAAAATATACATGTAATTGCATCATCATTAGAAAATTATGGTATAATATAAATATAGATTCATCTTATAGAAAGAAAAAACCAACAACGTCTTATATAGTCAGCATACAAAGCAGCAGAACATACATTTGAACTATCTTCATTACAATAATGTCGAAGAAATGCATTAATTATAATACAGCTACTGAATGTTATAATAAAGAAGAACATGAACCAGAGAAACAAAAAACTACAAGCGCTGCTTCATTTTTAACAATACCAGTAGAACTTGTTTACCGAATTCTTGATAATTTGGATTATTTTACTATTTTATATTCAATGAGAAACGTTTCTCAACGACACAATGCAATTGTGGATAGTTATCCTCGGTATACGGTAATGATTTTTCATTTCTATCATCAATAGTCAAATAGGAGAGAATTAACTGGTTTAATACCAATTAATTTCTTTTAGTAGAAAAACATTTTTCAAAAATTAGTATATTGGTAGAGACTAAATGATGTCATTGCATTGTGATATTTAGATAAGAACAGAAAGAAAAGAAAAAGCAATAGAAGATTGATTTATATATGTATACATCTAAACTAAGTATTTACACGTGTTTGCAAACATAAGCACTTGTATAAGACGAAAATTTTATTGTTATTGACAATATACGTTACAAGGTTTGAATCAGACTAAATATGAACGAATTAATACTATATCAGTCTTTCAATATAACATGATGATGATCCGCAAAAGCAGACTGATATCTTCTGAAATATTACATAAATATCTAAATATCGGTTCTTGATTGTTACATTGAATAATTATGAGTGAATTACAATTTTTTGGTACAATAAGTGGAAAAATTGAAAGTGGAGCTAAAAAATTTCTGAGCGGTATATCTATGAAAACACACTTTACAGTATAATTCTGCATAATTTCATTGATAAAAATGGTTTTACTGCTGGAAAGGATCATTTTAGTTTTTGCTCTGTAAGTTGTATAAGTAATTTGAAACAACTTTTAATATACTAAAATTTTCTGATCACACTCTACTGGAATAAATTATGCACGAAAACTCAGCGACAATATGATCTAATGAGTTGAAATTTTACACGGCAATGGAATGTTCAAAGCAATGTAACATATAAAAAAATTGTTTAAATCGGTCGAGGCAAACAGAAGTTATTAGCGAAATACATCTAAAATCTCAATTGTACCAAAAGGTTGCAATTCACTCATATCCCTTCTAGTTATTTTGAATTATTATAATAAAAAAAAAATAATCTTCCGAAATGAATTATAATAGTTACAAGTAGTTCGTTATTGATGATGGTTAAGGTAATATAGTTCTGGATTTATACGAAACATGTTTTCATACATTTATTAATTGTGAAGTTTAGCTTTATGAGAAATCATAATTCCTTCTATTCCTAAGCAACTCTATTAGTTTTATTTTGATGAATTATAAAAAAGAATTGTTTTATTATTCTTTAACTCTTTGTTCTTTCAAAGTATTTCTTTCATACACCTCAGTAATTTGTATTGACCTTTTTAAAAGTGGTACATTTTTATCTAAAAAAATAAATAAATTTTTAAAGGCACTTCTGGATTTCAACTGATTTATAGCTATTACAAAAAATAAGCATCTTATTTGTATGTATAAATGTGTAGTCAATGTCAAGATAATATATCTTTTCATTCGCTTTTCTCTTTACTTATTATATTAAGCAATTATTACAGATAAAAAATTAACCATTCGTTGTTCCCTTTTTTCTAGTGATCCAACTATATCCTTTGATTTTCTGCCGATTACATCTACAAGAAAAAAATAGTATTAGAACTTCATATCTACTAAGCAATTTATGCTTCAGTTTTCATCTAGAAATATTCTTGTATGAGTTAAGTATAGTTCTCCTACTGTTAGCAGGACTCCTGTTCAGCTTTTCATATTTTTTGTCCTTGTTATCAACAATTGCTTCTGGTCCACGTTAGTATTGTTAATTCCTTTTCGTCCACACGAGGCTTATTCATAAGTTTTAAGAAGTATTACCTTAGCATCATCCTCAAATACATAATAACATCGGATCTATTTTATATAACACATGTGTATACTTTTTCATATAGAAAATCAAGATAGTGAATCTCGCAAACTATGGTTTACAGGACAAGGCATTACCACTTCTAGCTGATGCATTACGCAACAATACAGTAACTATTATTTATTCTTCAAATATGTTGTCTATCGCTAATTTCTACTCTGTCATTGTAGACACTTACTACACTAAAACTTGGTTCAAACGGCCTTGGAACGGTAAAGGTGAAATATTTAGCTGATGCATTACGAACAAATACAGTAACTATTATATACCATTCATCTATGTTAGTTATCACCTGCCTGTGATGTTTCATTATAGGTACTTACCACACTGAATCTTGCCTCAAATCGCATTGGAGAGAGAGGAGTACAACACTTAGCTAATGCATTACGAACAAATACAGTAACTGTTATTTATTGTTCATGCATGTCGTTTATTACCTATCTGTACTCTTTCATCGTAGACACTTACTACATTGAATCTTCAGGATAATGGCCTTGGACACTTAGGAGCACAATATTTAGCTGATGCGTTACGAAATAAAACAGTAATTATCATTTACTCTTCATGTCTCTCGTTGATTATCTATCTGTATCTTTTCATTATAGGCACTAACCACACTAGATTTTTCTAGCAATAACATCGGAGATGAAGGAGCTCAACATCTAGGCGATGCATTATGGAATAACACAGTGACTATCATTTACTCTTCGTCTGCCTCTTTTGGCACTTATCTGTATCTCTTTCATTGCAGACACTAACTACACTAAATCTCTCAAATAATAAAATTGGAGGCGTCGGAGCACAACATCTTGGAAATGCATTACTAAATAGAGCAGTAATTATCATTTATTCTTCATGTATCTCATTTATCACATATATGCACTCTTTCATTTTAGATGCTTACCACACTAAATCTTTCCAACAATAACATCGGAGACGAAGGAGCACAATATCTTGGCAACGGGTTATGGAATAATACAGTGACTATCATTGATTCTTTATCTGACTTGGTTATCATTTATCTACATCTTTTCATTGTAGACACTTACCGAACTAGATCTTCGTAGTAATAATATCAGAGAGAAAGGAGCACAACATCTAGCTGATGCATTACAGAATAATTCAGTAATTGAAATTTATTCTTCGTCTGTATCATCGATCACGTGTTTATACTCTTTCATTGTAGATGCTTACCACAATAAATCTTTACTTTAATAAAATCGGCGACATGGGAGCACAGCATTTTGCTAATGCATTACGAAATAATGCAGTAATTATTATTTACTCTTGAGATATTTTATTTATTACCTATTTGTGCTCTTATATTGTAGACACTTACAGAACTACATCTTCGAAGCAATGAAATTCGAGACAAAGGAGCACAAGACATAGCGAATGCATTACGAGATAATATAGTAATTGTCATTTATTCATCACGTGTTTATACTCTTCCATTGTAGACACTAACCACACTAGATCTTGCATATAGTCGTGTCGGAGGCCCAAGTACAAAAATTCTAGCTGATATATTACGGAATAGTACAGTAGTTATCATTTATTCTTCGTCTATCTCGTACATCACCTGTTTGTACTGTTTTTTTTGTAGACACTTACTACAGTAATGTTTGACAACAATGAAATCGGAGACGAAGGAGTACAATATATAGTGGATGCATTACTGAATAATATGGTAACTATCATTTACTCTTTATGTTTATTGTTTATCACCTACCTGTACTCTTTTATTGAAGACACTTACTACACTAAATCTCGCATCCAATAAAATTGGAGACGAAGGAGCACAACAGTTGGCTACTTTATTACGGACTAGCACAGTAACTACTGTTCAGTCTTAATTTGTTCCATAGATCATTTATCTCTATACCCCTTCATTGCAGATACTTACTGAACTAAATCTCTCAGCTAATAAAATTGAAGACGAAGGAGCACAACATTTGGCTACTTTATTACGGACTAGCACAGTAACTACTATTCAGTCTTAACTTGTTCCATAGATCATTTATCTCTATACCCTTTCATTGCAGATACTTACTAAACTAGATCTCGCACACAATAAAATTGAAGATGTGGGAGCACAGGAGATAGCTAATGCATTACAAAACAATACAGTAATTATCATTTCCCTTTCATTTATGTCATTTTTCATCTGCCTATAATTTTTTATTGTAGACACTTAGAAAACTAAGTCTTATAGGCAATAATATCGGCGACGAAGGTGGACGACATCTACTTAATCTATCACGAAATAATACAGTGACTATTATTTATTCTTCATTTATCTCATATATTATCTCTCTGTGCTCTTTCATTTAGACACTTATCGAAATATATATTAAGTACAATAGAATTGGAAACCTGGTGGAAGATGAGATTGATAAATATGCTGAACGAAATAGAAAAATGGCACTATCATAAATATTGATTGGGTTTGAGTGTGATCCTTATATATTCCATACTCACTCTCAACCTAGTTTTTATCGTTATTGATTATGTTATTAATAAAGTAGAATCTCCAGAATTAAAAAAACATAAAATTAATTTAATATATTTCTCTTAATGTAAGATTAAATTGAAGTACGTATATATAATGATTTATTAAATGAGCTTGTTGAACATAAACAACAAAGAACATGTGTGTCAAATAATTAAAAATGGGAAATGTACGTTCTTATGACACGATCTATCTTAAAAAAAGAAGATAGACTTCATTAAAATTCTCGTAGCTCAAAGAAATCTTTCATAATTTAACTTCATTCCATTAAATACAAGATATTCATTAAAAAAATGGATTTAAACATAATATATATTGAAAATATTTCACATTATATATCTAAGTATACATTTCTATTCTATTTAATATTTGGTAATATTGGAAATATATTAAAAACATTATTTTTTCTGCAACAACCTCTTAAATCATGCCCATGCACAATATATATTCTTTGTGCTACCATAAGTCATTTTTTTACTCTTAATAATATTCCATTATTAAATTTATTATCAAACGATCGGATTATTATTGGTTTTGGACAGACATCAAATAAAACGATAGTAGAAAATTTATTTATTCCGTCACAATATTCAATAAAAATGTGTCAAATTCGAATTTATTTTCATATGTGGAGTTCAAATTTTTCACTTCAAGTTCTTGTATTTGCATCAATTAATCGTTTTTGTATGTGTTTAAAAAAGAAAAATCAAAAACAATATTTAAGTAATTTCTTTTGTTCTCTTTCATCAGCATATATTATCTGTATAGTAATATGTATTATTTGGGCTTTAATTTCTCTTCATTATTTAATGGATTTTGCTATTTCGAATAATTATTGTGCACCAAAAAATATTTTTATATGGGGAATAAAATTTTCAAGTATATATCTTTGTCAATCAATTTTACTGATTATTTTTGGTATTTTAACAATTATTTATAGACAAAAACGTACTATATTTATTCGTCGTAATGAACCATATGAACGTCATCCTGTTGAAACACAACTTACATCAATGATTATAACTGAAATAATTCTTGTTATACTATCATCTTTACCTTATACAATCTATATAATTTATCGATTAATAACAATAGAAAGAAATCGTAATTCAATTGATATAATGTATGAAAATATTATTGAACGATTAATACGATTAACAATATTTTTTGAAGCAAGTTGTGGATTTTATATTTATTTATTTACATTAACATCATTAAAAAAACGATTTCTTCATATTTTACGACGAAAATTAAGGCATTAGATGAAGTACTATTTATATATCACTTTAATTACGGTAATTTTTATTTGTTTACATAAATTTTACATACAAAAGTATTTTTTCTTTAATCACATTCTTCTTTCATCATTAAAATAAAATTGTTCACTTTCTTCATTTTGAATACGATTTCTCAATGTTTGTAATGTACTATTATAATTCGATGATGATGATGAACGTTGACGTTTAACTTCTGTTATTGTTGGTGAATCTAATGAACGTTTTTCTGATTGAGTTGATGTTAATCCTGTTAGTTGTTTTATCTTTTGAATATAATGAATACGATAATTCTTAGCAAGAGATACTATTGTTGGATGACGAGGATGAGATGTTGAAGTTTCCTCTGATAGATTATTTGAATTTGCTGGTAAATCACTAGAATATTAAAAAAACGAATTTTTCTTATTATTTATCTTATTGAGGTTATTACGTAGGATTCGTTATCTGACTATTAATTTCTTCAAGTGTAACTTGTTCTTCAGTTTCATCTGCTGATGGACTATTTCTTGATGAAAGATCATCATCATCATCATCATCAGTTGAATCAATAATAGATGATAAATCATCGCTATCACTATCATCTAGAATAAACCAAGACAAAAAAAAAATCAATCGAAAAAATAAACCTTTAAAACAAACCATCACTGATATCATCATCATCCATATGGCCATGCCTAAGTTCACGTTGAAGGAGTGAATCAAAAAATGCGAGCATACGTTTATCTTCATCATATCGTTCCACTGATGAATCATGATGTACAGAACCTGATTCTAATACAGCACGAAGATAATCCCGATGTGTATACATTTCTTGTCGTCCATTGAATTTAGTATTATTAGTAATATTATTACGAGTACGATATGGTGTCCACATCTAGACTAAATTTACGTAAATCTATTCTTGAAATTCTTTAAAATTGTTTCAATCGGAAAATCATACTTTGATAATTTTTTCAACGCCACTTGATACTAATGTATGCATACGAGATGAATATCGAATTTGATTAACAACAGATCGATGTCCAGACAAAATCATATGAGCATTCCATACAAAATGATCTATTCATTTATAAAATTTTCTCAAATACAAAAATAAAACAAAATACCTGAATTTAAATGTGAACGAGATTGACATTGCACTGTATCTATTCAATCAAATTTTGTAACGATTATAATTATGGAAGTCTCTTACCTTCATCAGTGTCTGGTATACGCCAAATATAAACATTAAAATCATCGGAACCTGATGCAATATACTATTTTGAAAAAAAAGTAAATGTGATGTTGTATAGAAGAAAAACAATTTACTTGATCATGATCACCAACAAAGCAACCTGACTTCATTGTACATAAATTTACATAATTGTCGGCGTCAAATTGACAAAACGCTTGTGCCTGATTGAGTTTGAAGAGTACAGGAGGCAATCGACGTCGAAGAGCATATAAGAGGCTACCATCTCTGTTAAATGTGACACTCATACCTTCAATACCATTATCATTATCATCAGTCGATATTCTACGTGTTGAACTTGTTGGTGCACCATAACGAAGTACAGAACTAAAAGATAAATCTTATTTTCTCATACGAAAAAAAAAATGATTTACCTTTTACACAATCGAATATCATATAATTCAATGCCTTGTCGAGCATTAGCTGTAGCTACTAAACATGTTTGTTGTGGATGAAATGCACATGAATGATATGAACCATCGAATGATTCAGCAACAACAGTTGATGGTTGATCATGTTCTGCTGCCGATGAAGCAGAACGTAAATCATATAAATGAACATGACCATCTTCAGTTGCTGCTATAAATACATCATTATGTTCTGGTTGTATAGATAGAGAATTGATTGGTGATGATTCAAGAAAAACATCAACTAATTCATCTGAATGACTACCATTCAATCCACTGAAAATAAACCATAACAATAAAAAAAAGACATTTCTAATCATTATTAACTTACTGACTTTGTTTTTCAATATCATGAACTAAAATTTGTTCATCATTCCCTTTTTTTTCAAATAAAAATTTATAATTTAATTGAAATTTTTTTTCTTCTAATTACCTGCTGATATAATACGTTTATTTTGATTATCAAATTTAATTGAAAAAATATTACTCAAATGTGTTGCATTTAATACTATTGGTGAACAATTTGTTTGATTAAACAGTGTTTCACCCATATTCCATATAAGTACTCGTTTATCATCACCACCTGATGCAAGAAAAAGACCATCCGAAGAAAAATCAAGTGCATTTACACAACCAGAATGACCTTTCCCATCTTGACAATACAATTTTGAATATGAATCGAAACGATTTTGTAAATATTTCGATCGATTATAATTCCAATGATTATATCTCAATGCTTCATTACGTAGATGATGAATTATATTAAATGATTTATATCGATCTGTCATTTTAATCTAAAAATGCCATAAACATCGATAAGATATTGTTAAGTAAAACAAAAGAGCAAAAAAAGAAAAAACGAGAAAAATAAATATCAAGTCTATTGCCAAAAGAGTACACTTAGTGCCATTCCAAGACAAAATATTGATACATATTGACTTTTGCGTTGACCAATTCTTGCAAATTTCCAAAATGTACCACGAAATCTAAAACAAGAAAATAAATAAATATTTCAAAATCCTTCTAAATATATTTCAAACCCTGTTTTATATCGGTTGAGTAATTTTGGATAAAAATCATGTATATAAGTACATGTACAAATTAAAAGAAGTATAACAACCAGTAGACTTTGAAAGTTAAATAAAGCGGACTAAAATAAAAAATAATCTATTTATTAATATAGTTATTAAATGAATAAATACCATCGTTTCTCAATGAGAGTAATTGTTTGATCAATCTAAAATAAAATAAATATAGTTATATTAACAAGCAAGCAGGCTACGTTTCAAATCATTCATTGGATTATTTTATGGAATAAAGCGACATCTATGAAAATTATTAAAAAATCTTTTAAAAATTAGAAATAAATATTTTTCTGAATAAAATATTAAATTTATTTTTATTAAAATTAGTTTTTAAAGGTTAAAATAACTATGAAATATTAGGAGGCAATTAAGCGGTTATAGTGCCAATAATCCTAATGAGTTTATATTATTCTTGAACAAATTCAAATCTCAATAATGTTAAATTTATATAATGGTACAGTAATAACAAATAATCGAAAATTACAATTTTTATTTGAAAATAAATTATCAACAGATGATAAAGTACCAAAAACAGGTCGAATTTTACGAAATAAAATATTTGTTATTGGCTTTCCACCAAATGTATGAATAAATGATTTTTATTTACTTGATTGCATTTAATCTATGTATATATATATAGTGTACTGAGATTGATTTGGAAAAATTCTTTTCAAATTTTGGTTTAGTACGTGAAACTCGAATTGTTAAAGATGAAAATGGAATAACGAAAGGGTATTTTTTTTCCTCGATACCAAGAATATTTCATATAAATTTTCTTTGTATAGATATGCATTTATTACTTTTGTAAAAGAACGTTCAGTAATGCATGCGCTTGAGTATCGAGTGAGTTTTTAATTGATTAAAAATATTCTTTCTAAAAAGAAAAGCTCTATTAGGGACCGATTTATTTTATGGATAGAAAATTATCAATTAATCCAGCTGTTAAAAAACAAAATCAATTCATTCAAACCGATCGATGTTTATCATCATCAACAAGTATTGATACACCATCTGATATATCATATTCATCAACAAATCTCAATGCTCCTCCAATCAATCAAACAACTATACATCATTATTATAATACTGATTCACAACCATATTTTCATTATAATATGCCATCACATCCAGTTTATTGTACATCCGGATCAGGTCCTATTTGGCATCAATATTTTTCAACAACAACTAATTATCCAGTATGTGTTTTATAGTAATAATGAAGATGATATGACTTATATTTGATTCTTTTCTTAGCCGTGTAGTTATTTCCCAATGGGTAATAACAGTAATGGGTATCCAATAGTATCCCAAATAAATGGAAATATTTACCATAATTCGATATACACATATTCCTGCAAGTAATAAAATATTTCAATAAATTTATAATTTCTAGTTGATATCAGTCATTTTGATTTTCTATTTTCACAATTGTACTAACATTTTTTTCTTCTTATTATTATTTTCAAGAAAAAAAAAAGTATAAATTCTTGTTTTTCTTTTTTTTGTTTAATTTTCATAATATGTCATTTTCTTTTTTGAGTTTGTATATATATGTATGTATATCTTTAGATATTTCTTTTCTTCTTGTTTATTTCAGTATTAAGATTTCGAATAGTCAGATTGTTTAATTATATGTGTAAAACAGATGTTCTCTTGTGTTTAATATTTTGTTGTGTATATCTGATCATATAATATATTTGTTTAGTAAGACTAGTTAGTAAAATAAAAGTATGACTTTCTTCAACACCTTTACATTTAATAATCTCTTATCACAATAGAATTGTTTGCCTATGTGGTTAACAAATGTTTCTTTTTTTTAATATTCTTATCTTTCTATAGTGGCTCGAAGTGACTAAAAGGAGAAAAAAAAATATAAGATGGTTCAGATTTGTATTGAAGATCCTCCATATTTATTTACAATTCGTTTAACAACATATGAAGCATTTATTCAAGCTATTGTTAGTCGTGTAGGTACGACGAAAATCTTGCCAATATCTTATTTTGATCGAATAAAAAATACATTTATTCAAATCAATGGTGAAAATATCGAACCACTTCGACGTAAAACTCATTTCAAAATTCGTTTAGGTAGATTAGAATCAGTACCATATGAAGGTGAATTAAATAATGAAGGAGAAAAACATGGTCAAGGAATGTATCGATGGCAAAATGGTCGAACATATGTTGGAGAATGGTATAAAAATCAAATGGAAGGTGATGGGGTTGAATTATGGCCAAATGGATCAAGATATCAAGGACAATTTAAAGCAAATAAAAGACATGGTCAAGGAACTTTTACATGGGCAGACGGTCGACAATATATAGGAGAATATCGTAATGATTATCGACATGGTTATGGTGTATGTACATTCCCAAATGGATATAAATATGATGGACAATGGTATCAAGGTAAAAAACATGGACGTGGCATTGAAATATTTCCTGATGGACATCGATATAATGGAATGTTTGAAAATGATAAAGCTATTGCACCTACATCGGAATAACTTCATATCTTTTTTTATTATAAAATATTGTTTTATACTCCGGAAAAATTATTGTCACTGTTTTCTCTGAAATAAATATGATTTTGTAATATATAATTGTTGTTAGAATTTTTATTTAAAAAAAAGAAATTGAGTCATATAAAATCGTTAATTAATTTTAAGTACGGATGGTTGTGCAACATAATAAGAACAAAATTGTGTCCATGGTGAAAAATCTGATTTCGATGGATCAGTTATTGGTAAGTCTCGGTTATCTTTATTACGAACAGGAGTACCTAGAAAATAAAAATAACTATAAATCTTATTAATTTTCGATTGTATATAGATTTACCTCCTGGTTTATGTGACCAAAAACCATTAGCATCCTAGAAAAATCAAACAAAATATTTAACAATATAGTTATATATATATAAATATTTTCAAACCATTCTTATCCAATGAAAGTTTGTTTCTGGCCAAATAAGTAATGCAACAAAATGTCCTTTTTCTGGTTTACCTGTTGGTAATGTTGTACCATTATAAACTAAACCATCACGAATCGATGAATTTCCCATATCTTCACATGTATTCAATGACCATTTTTTTCCACTACCTCGACCTATACAAATAAAAATCAATTCATTTCTTTATACAATTATTTACCTGGTTGTGGAAATGTATTTGTAACAATATCAGTACCATAAGCATAACAATTATTTGATGATTCTTTTGTAACGAAACATCCATTATCATCGGTTTTTGGATCATATACAGGTACTGCATCAGTACCTTTGATTGGAACATGATTACAATCAGCATTATCAGATTGTATACTAGTAATTTCCGACATAATTTCTCCAAGATGATCTTTAACATGATGAATAATTGATGCTGAAAGATGACGACGACCTCCTAATAGTAATAAATTTTCAATTGGAGATAAACCATTAACAAAAACATATTGATTCGAAGAACAACTAATAGTAAATCCATGATAACCCATAACTCTTGTTGTTGGTTTACTTAATAATGTATTATTATTATCATTATTGTTAAATAATGTTTCATAAGCTAATTTTTTAATTTGACTTAATTGTTTTATATCAATTTTCCAAACTGGATTTGGTGTACCAGAGAATATATGAAGAGTAATAGATGGTTCATTACATTCTAATCCTTGTAATTTTGTTAAATGTTCTTTATTAAATTGACCATTAGTGATCGATAAGAGACAAACAAACGAAAAAAGATAATTAAATATCATTTGAAAACAATGTAAAGACTTGTATTACAAAACTTTTCTTTATACATTACTCTACTTACGTGCGTGTATATATATATCCTATATTTATCTGGAGAAAAATATAAAAATACGACAGATGTTTTTATTCATATAATCTTATCTAATAAGAATAACAACATAAAAATAAGTATTGTTATCAAAATTTTCGTATTTTAAAGTCACAAGATGTGATTACAGAGCAAATTGAAAATAATATTCTATAATGTTAAACATTGCAATGCAGAAACATAGTAACAACCGCGGTAAATTAATTCTTTGTTTTCGTGAATTTTACATTAGTTCTCGATTCTATTCGATGAGTGAATTTCTTATTCGTATAAAAACATCTGATAAAAATATAAATGATTATAATAAAATAATTTCATTACGAATCTATGATGATAAACATCAATCAAGTGAAGAAATAATTTTAAAAAAATCTGAAATAGAAAATGAAAATATTAATATATATCATATTCGAATACAACAAAAATTAAATGAAACAATACAAAGACTTAAATTACATTCAATACAAATTCATCAACAACAACAATCGGAAGATGATAATAAAAATGAACGAATATTTTTGAAATGGATTGAAGTAAATGATCTTAATACAAAACATACATTTTGTTTTCCAATCAATGATTATTTACCATCAAGTCCTGGTGATGTATTAGAATTAACTAAAGTATATCAAGATAAAACTTGCGAAAAAAATACAGATAATCAAACATTATTTAAAATACGAACACGAGGTTAATTATGTAGAATTATTTTATAATATTTTATTCAAAATTTTTCTAGTCGGTCATAAAGGTCTTCTTGCTTTTCATATAAGTGGAACAGATGTAAAAGTTTATATACGTTTGTATGAAGGTGAAAAAGTTTCAGATGATATTTTATTAAATAATTCCTTAACACATAATAATCCATTTGAAAGTGGTCATACCGATGTATTTGAAATTGGTATTTCACAAGATATTGTATCTCCAGATCGTATTGAAATATTTTCTAATGAAAAAAAACATGATGGATTATATTTAAAATGGATTGAAATTATGAATATGAATACATTAGAACGGAAATGGTTTGAACATGATTTTTGTTTTAAAATCAACTAATTCTGATATTTAGTTTTCCTGTTAATCGATCGATTGATTTAAAAGAAGAAAGTCATATTATATTAACAAATTTTATTATCGATGAATCATGTGAAGAAAATGAATATCGTGAACATCATATTCATGATCAATATAAAACTGAATATATTATTCGTACTAAAACAAGTCTTAATCAACCATTAAATAGTACTAATACTCATGCAAATATTTATTTAAAAATTTATGATCATAAAAAGAAACATACAGAAGATTTGTTATTAAGTAATTCGAAACATCAAACAAATCCTTTTCAAGCAGGACAAATTGATAAATTTCATATTGGTTCAATTCAATTAATGGATGATAGTATTGATAAAATTGAATTATGGCATGATAATAAATCGAATTTTAATTGGTTTTGTCAATGGTAAAATATTTTCTTGTTTTGTTTTTTACTAAAAAAGGTTTTATTAGGATTGAAATAAAAAATAAGAAAACAGATAGTATAAAATGTTTTGGTGTTAATCGGCTTTTATCACAAAAACTTATTCTTACTATTCATTCAAATTATCCATGTGATAAAATCGAACATGAATTATATGATTTAACTAAAAATGTAGCTATCGATAATCAATATTCTCATTTTCAAACATCAAATAAAAATGAATTTATTAAAAAATATTTAATAAAAATAAAAACTGGAAATAAATCATTATCAACAACGAATGCTCATGTATTTATTCGTTTATATGATAATGAAAATCGTTCATCTGAAGATATTCTACTTGATCAAACAGTTACAAATAAAATTCCATTTCAAAAACATGCAATAGATGAATTCCATGCGGGTACATTAAAAAATTTATCGGATTTACAAAAAATTCGTTTATGGTATACCGATGGAAGAAATGAAAAATGGAATATTGAATGGTTACAAGTAAATGATATCGATGCTAATCGTTTGTATTGTTTTCCAGTAGTAAGTTGGAAATAATATTATATTATTTTGTAATTTATATTGAATTTTTCAAAGAATAAACGATTTGATTCAAATTCAGATGATATTGTATTAACTGAATATACTATAAATGAACCTTGTTCAACAATATCTTCACAATATAAACGAACATATCATGTTGAAACTAAAACAGGCAAACGAGGTTTTCTTAATTTATCTCCTACAGGTACGAATTCAAATGTATATATGCGAATACATGATAAAAATGGACAAATATCAGAACCAATTGAACTTAATAAATCTCTTAATCATAAAAATAAATTTGAACGAGGACAAACAGATGAATTTGATGTTGGTATGTTAATTTATATACATAAATATAGAACGCTACACTGAATTACATATAGGTTCTATTCAATCATTAGATGAAATTAATAAACTTGAATTATGGCATGATAATTCTGGTATTGGACGTGGATGGTTTGTAGATTATATAGCTATAACAGATAATAAAACTGGTGATGAAGCATGCTTTTTTATTGGAGAATATTTAAATAAAGAAAATGGTGGTGTAGAAGAAAAACATCTTATATTAGATAAACAAACAGTTGGTAATCGTCCATGTCGTGAACATCAATTTGATGGTGATGAATTAACAATTGATGAAACTATACCAGCAGTTTTCAAGCAAACATACCGTATCGAAACAAAAACAGGTATAACATAATATATTAAAATGAAATTTTGTATAATACTTTTTAGGTCATTCTGGTACTAACACACCTGTATTTATTCGTATTTATGATAATAATGATAAAATATCTGAACCAATTCAACTTAAAAATTCATTAAATCATAAAAATAAATTTGAACGAGAACAAACAGATCAATTTGATGTTGGTACTCGTATAGATCTTGAAGGTGTAAAAAAACTCGAATTATGGTATGAAAATGATGGATGGGGAATAGATTATATTGTAGTTATTGATAATAAAACAAAAGATTCATATTGTTTTGTTATTAATGAAATGTCGAATAAAACTTCTGACTCGAAAAATACACATATTTTACTTGAATATCCATCCATAAACGTTCTATGTTCAAAAAACAATGATAAGATTGAAAGAAATTTTACTATCAAAACTAAAACAGGTACAAAAATTGTTCAATAAAAGAAAAACCCAAGCATTTTTAATCAAAATCTATGTAGGTAATCATATAGAAGCTGGTTCAACAACACCTATTCATATTCAATTATTTGATGATCAAGAACAAAAATCTGAATATATTCGTCTTAAACAACAAGATCATGATAAACATAATTTCGAGCCAGGAGCTATCGATGAATTTGAAGTAACATCATCTCAACTACTCTCGAATAAACTAGTTGGTATTCGTGTAAAACATAATGCTAATAAATATCAAGGATGGTAAAATTAAATATTATAAAATAGGTTTTTCTTCTTCTTATATTTAAATTTGAAGGTATTGCGAATGGATTGAAATTACTGATAAAGATAATAATAAAATTTATTGTTATCCTATTCAACGATGGATAGATAAAGCTGAAAATGATAAAAAAACTGATATATATTTTACTGATGTTTCAAATGTACCATGCCATACAATGTCTCAATTATCAACTATATCTTTCAAAAATACTTATCATATAAAAACTAAAACAGGAAAAAATAACTTTCCTGATAAAGGAATTTTTATTCGAATTATTGATAAAAATGGAAATATTTCTGAGAATCTTCAATTAAATAGTTCAACTGAACATACTGGAACTAGTAAACAATTGAATAGTATTGATCAAATTGAATTATGGACTGATGGGAAAGATTTCGATAGTGGATGGTTATGTGAATATATTGAAATTACTGATAATCAAACGGGTGATATTGCATGTTTTCCTGTTAATCAATATTTAAATCAAAAGAATGGTGGAAGCGAAAGAAATCCATTGAAATTAAAACGAAGAATAGGTGATCGATCTTGTCAAGAAATAATCGAAAAGAATAATACGAATGATAATGAATCAATTAGTAAATACAAAAGTACATATTCAATAATAACTAAAACAGGTCAAACTGGAACTAATGCGTATATTTAATATTTTAATAGTATTCATTTATTGAATAAAATCTTATTTTTAGTCCTGTATTTATTCGTATACATGATACTAAAGGTAAAATATCTGAAGCAATTCAATTAGAAAATTCTACAAGACACACAAATAAATTCGAAAGAAATCAAATTGGTAAAATTCAACAAAGACATATATTTCTAAATAAACCATATTATTTTAGATCAATTTGATATTGGAACATTGGAAATGCTTGAAGGAATATCACGAGTTGAATTATGGCATGAAGGAAATAAAAATAATGGTTGGCAAGTTGAATATATTCAACTGATTGATAATCAAACAAATACATCTTATTGTTTTCCTGTTCATGGTTTAAAACAAACTCATATTCTTCTTGAAAGACCATTAATTAATGTATCTTGTTCTGAACAAATGAATACAGATATAATTAGTCCAAAGAAAATGAAAAAGACGAAGGATAAATATGAACGAAATTTTACTATTCGAACAAAAACTGGTAAAAATTATTTTGTTCAAGATTTATATTTGATTATTCTTTTCAAAAAAGGTAATCAAATTGAAGCAAGTTCAACAACACCTATTCATATTCAATTATTTGATGATCAAGAACAAAGTTCAGAAGATATTCGTTTGAAATATCATGATCATGATAAACATAATTTCGAATCAGGAGCTATTGATGAATTTCGAGTAACATCTCATCAACCGTTATCAAATAAACTAGTTGGTATTCGTATTAAACATAATGCTGATAAATATCAAGGATGGTAAAACCAGATTTCATTAAATAGGTTTTTCTTCTCCATATATTTACATTTGAAGGTATTGCGAATGGATAGAAATTATTGATGAAGATAATCAACAAACTTATTGTTATTCAATACAACGATGGATAGATAAAGCTGAAAATGATAAAAAAACTGATGTGTATTTCAATAATTTATCAAATGTTCCATGCAATTCTTTATCTAATACAATGATTTCAATTACTGAAAAATCGTATGATACCGAATCACACACATCTCAAAGATCTTCTATACCATATCAAAGTACTTATCGTAAGTCATTGATGGTATTTAAGAAATCTTTGAGAATTTATTGATAATTTTATATAATAGATGTAGAAACGAAAACAGGCAAGAAAGGTTTTCTTAGTTTATCACCTACTGGTACAAATGCTGATGTATACATTCAAATAATTGATCATGATGGTAGTAAATCAGAACCAATGCAATTAAAAAAATCTATTGATCATAATAATCAATTCGAACGTGGTCAAACTGATGAATTCGATATTGGTATATAATCTTTTTTATCTAATGTTTAACATATAAACTAGAATATATTTATTGATAGGCTCAATAAAACAACTAAATGGTATAAAACAATTAGAAATTTGGACGAATGAAAAAGGTTTAGGACATGGATGGTATGCTGAATATATTATTGTTACAGATAATAAAAGAAATGAAGAAGCATGTTTCTTGATCGATGCATTTTTAAATAAAAAGAATGGTGGTGTCATTGGTAATCATCTTATATTGAACAAAGAAACAAATAATATTTCATGCCGTGAGAAATATCAAGAAGAAGAAGATGATATTGATACTATACAAACACGTCAAATGAAAGCTATTCGGCCAGTTACAGATTCTTCATCAATGATTCTTTATAAAAGAACTTATAATGTTAATACGAAAACAGGTCATGAAGGATCGTTGAATACTGATGCAGATGTTCATTTACGAATTTATGATAAAACAGGTCATATATCTGAACCAATTTCATTACGCCGTTCAACAAAACATTCAAATCCATTTGAAAAGGGCAATTTAGATTCATTTGATATTGGTACACAAGAATCTCTTGAAAGTATTGCTAAAATTGAATTATATCATGATGGACCAAGTCTTGATCGTGAATGGGATATGGAATATATTACTATTCTTGATAATCTTACAGGACATACTTATTGTTTTTCATCTGATAAATTGATTCGTAATTCTGAACATATAATACTAGATGTACCATGTGAAGAAATTAATAAAGAACAAATGAAATCGAAGATTATTGATACAAAAGATAAACAAAAACGTAGTTTTTCTGTACGAACTAAAACTGGTAAATAAAAGTTGAATATAGAATAATTTATTTTTTCTTCTCAATAGGTTCTCATGTAGAAGCTGGTTCAACAACACCCATCTATCTTCGTCTATTCGATGATCAATTTCAAAAATCTGAAAAAATTCGTTTAAAACAAAAAGATAAAGATGGACATCATTTTCAATCAGGATCCATAGATGAATTTCATATTACATCTGATAAACCATTCAATAAGTTAACTGCTATTGAAATTTCACATACTGCTGATAAATATCAAGGATGGTATGGTGAATGGATATCAATAACTGATAATGATACAAATGAAATATATTGTTTTCCTTTACAACGTTGGTTAGATAAAGGAGAATTAGATGGAAAAACTGATGTCTATTTAAAATATATTCCAACTACAATTCCTTGTGAACAATTACCCGATACAATGAAAAGACGAAGTTTATTACGAACTACACCTATTGAAAAATTAGAATCTAAAAATTCTATAGAAGAATATAAAACAATATATCATGTTCAAATAAAAACAGCAAAAAAAGGTCTTTTAGGTTTAGCACCTACAGGTACCGACGCTAATGTATTTATTCGAATTCATGATAATAATGGAAATATATCTGAACCAATTGAACTTAAAGAATCTATTGATCATAAAAATAAATTTGCTCGTGGAAAAATAGGTTAATTACATGAAATTAAATATCTTTTTGTTTGACTAATATTATAGATGATTTCGATGTTGGATCTATTCATGAGTTAAATGGTGTTGATAAACTTGAATTATGGACTGATGGTAAAGGTATTGGTAATGGGTATGTTATTTTTCATATTTATCACCCTAATATAAGCGTCTAGCTTCTTTTATAGTTGGTATCCAGAATATGTTCAAATAGCTGATCAAAAGACAGGTGAAATCAGTTGTTTTATCATTGAACAATATTTGTAAATATTTTATATCTATTTCTGTTGAAAATAAATTCTAGTTTTTTGTTCCTAATGTAGAAATGAAAAATATGGTGGAGTAAAGAATGATCATTTAATATTTAGTAAACAAAAAGATAATCGATTATGTAATGAATTAAAAAATGATGATACATTGAATTCCTATGAAAAAGAAAGATTTCAAGTAGAAATCAAAACAGGTTTTTCTTTTCTGATTATATTTCCTCATGTGATAAGGACATACTGGATTCTTAGGATTGAACGACATTGGACATGATGCTTCAGTATTTATTCAAATTTCTGATAATAATGATCGTAAATCTGATGTAATTCAATTAAAACATTCAATTAAACATCGAACTAAATTTCAACGAAATCAAACAGGTAACAGAAACCACTGATATTATTAAAATAAGAAACGTTTTTTTTCTAGATAATTTTCTTATTGATACTGAAGAGCCACTTGATGGTGTTTCTAAACTTGATTTATGGTATAAAGGAAATAAAAATGATAAATGGCGAGTTGATTATATTAATATAACTGATAATAAAACAAATATTTCCTATTGTTTTCCAATTAATGCAATACTTGATTTAACACAATCAAATTTTCATTTTGAAAATCCATTAATTAATGTATCTTGTAAAGAAGAGAATGAACTAAGTTATACATCAATATCGAAAAAACTTAAATCAGATAGATTATCTCGTAATTATACAGTTCAAACAAAAACAGGTATTAAAAGGAATATTGAAATTTTCAAACAAAAATACGTTTTTATATAGGTAATCATCCATCAGCTGGTTCAACAACTCCAATTCATCTTCAATTAATTGATATTTATGATAAAAAATCGAAAGATATTCGTCTTAAAAAGAAAGATATGGAAGGTCATCATTTTGCACCAGGAAATATTGATGAATTTAAAATTTCATTATCGGAATCATTATCAATATTAAAAGCAATTAAACTTTCACTTGATGCTGATAAATATCAAGGTTGGTATGGTGAATGGATCTCAATAACCGATAATGATACAAATGAAATCTATTGTTTTCCAATACAACGTTGGTTAGATAAAGGTGAAGATGATCATAAAACTCATGTTATTTTATATCAACAATCTGATAGTCCTTGTAATCAATTACCTGATTCAATGCTTATTTCATCTTCACCAATAAATAACGAAGAAAATATGAGAACTTCTACTACTGATCAAGAATTTCAAATATGTACACAAACAGCTGATAAATCATTACAAGGCAAACCAGGATATAATGCTAATGTTTATCTAAATTTATATGATAAAAATAATAAACAATTAGGTGATTCTATTCGTCTTGAAAGCTCTAAAAATCATAAAATACCATTTCAAAAACATCATACAGATAAATTTAATATAACATTATCGAATATAACTATCTTTGATATTGATCGAATTGATCTTTATCATGACGGGCAAAATGATGGGTAAGTTTTATTAATAAAAATATTTCGTTGATCTTTTCTATTTGATTTCTATAGATGGTTTTGTGATTTTGTTGAATTAAAAAATCTTCAAACAAATCAAACAAAATGTTTTTCTGTTCATCAATGGTTAGATAAAATATCTGATAATATGCATTTTTCAATGACTAACTATCAAACGATTTCTTGTGATGATAAACGATATAACAGAAATATTTCGAATTATTATTATTATACTGTACGTATTAAAACAAATCAAACAAATTTATTACCCAATGATTTTGTTCATGTTTCTTTAAAACTTTTTGGTAAAATTCATCAAACTGAACAAATTCAATTAGATCAAACTATTGATAATCAACAAGCATTTCATCGAAATAATTCTATTGATACATTTGAAATTCGTACGCCTACAAAATTAAATTCGCTTGAAAAAATTGAATTTTATTATGAATTTCAAATAAATTATGGAAAACTTTCATTAGAATGGATTGAAATAACAAATTTGTCGAATGGAATTATTTCTTGTTTTCCAATCAATCGTATATTAACACAATTGAATAATAATAAACGAATTCAACAAATCTTAACTCTTACTGAATTCACGAATAAATCTTGTTCGGATTAAATTTTTTTCATTTAAATTAATAAAAACTTAATTCGAAATATTATTAATCAGAAGACATATTCTCATGATTTGAGAGTTGATGTGGATGTGCTTATAGAGATAATAAGATATCTGCACCGACCACGCTCACATGTTTTTCGTATATATACGATGATGTCTTACTGTAAAAATATTCTCAACACTACATTATTCTCTCGTGATATTAATTTTTAGTTTAATCAGTATTGATAGTCTAAGCTATGTGTAAAACAACCAATACAAGAGCTGCAACTGTTCAAACATAAGATAAGACTAATTCAGGAACGAGTCGAGCGTCATCTTCAAATTCTAACATCCAAAATAGGCAGCAATCTCGTAGTCGTAGCAACTGACGCTCTTCGATATTTCTGTTGGTAAATGTTTCATTGTAGCTCATGGGATTAATTGAGTCTCGAACTATTCGTCTGTGTTATGGTTTGACAGTTGGATATCAAATGAGATCGTGAATGCCGATGCATGGCTGTCAAAGGACAACGAAAAGCCATTGTTGTTTTGTGATAAAATAAGTTAATGATGATCGATATTGAATTCAGTCGAAAGATGAAATTCGTTGACGAAGTCACGCAGAAATGACGTTTCGATGTTGACTGATTTTGGGGTAGCAAAAGAGGCTTGTAACCTTGACATAATCGACACTGTTGCATATCTTCTGGGCTGAAGATCAATTCACAACTACACGTTACAATACTAACGAATAGTACATTAACACTAGGAACATAGATAGTTATTTGACTATTTGTTAACAAATCACACTTTATTTATATAATTGAAGTGAAAACTATCTTCTTCAAACTTTTTCGTTTTCATCGCATCTCACTGCTTTTTTTCTTTCGTAAAATCAGAAGAAGTATTTTTTGAAAAGCATATCATGAATCTCTTTCTTCAACGAAATCATTTACATCAAGATAAAAAGCGATTGAGATAAAACTACATTTCAATTATGACACAGATATAAAACTAATGTTTTGCAAATTTACCAAAAAAATCGTCCTTTTCAGTAGTTCAATTCAATGCTTCTAATTAAAAAATGATTTCTATAAACTTCTCTCCTACCTAAATTGTAGGCTAATTTGATAAAAACTTTAACAAATATCAATTATTATCAGCATTCATTTATTAAAATCACATTCTTATTCAAAGTTTTATAGAAAACGGTGTCAAATACGCTCCATTTTCTTCACTCTGGTTTATACAGTCTGTACTGTAATCACGAAACAAACAAGGAATACGATCTTTAACTTTCTCCTCATTATCACACAAAATCTAAACACACATGAGTTCAAACATATCTCCCTATTGCATTTCTGTTTTCCTCAACTCTAACCAGAGCAACTATCGCCATATTACGATACAATCAAACTATCAAAACCAAACCATTATTCATCATTTCATGATCCATCGAAGCAAATAAGTTCTCAATTTTCCTTACCGCCACTTCATCATCAACGTATGAAGCAATCAATAATTATTGCAAAAAACTCGTCAACAACCAACAAATGCAATTACTCACCTATACCAACAGCATACCATCCAATAAGAGAATAAAACCACGAATCAATTATTCAAGAATGTTAACATGCATTTAAGGAAAATAGGAAAACATCACCTCAATTTACAAAAACTTTAAAATTGAATAATTCAAATCAAATAATTATTCGACAATGTATCAATATATTTCAATCCCTTCAAACTATAACACTATACATTCACAACGCTTATAAGCGTACCAAACCAAAAAGATAAAAGTTCAACAATGAATGTTAATGGTAAAATAAATATGAAACTATTTCTTTCTTTTATAAAAATGAGAGGGACGTTGAATTGGTCTGAGCAAGGCTGCATTCAAAAATGAATGCTGATGATAAGATAAACATGAAATTATTTATTTAATTTCATGATAATGAGAGGGCTGTTGAATTGATCCTATAAACATTTCATTCAAATCTGTATGTTAATAACAAAATAAATACGAAAGTATTCCTTTACTTTCATAAAAATGAGAGGGTTGTTGAATTGATATGAATAAAATTGCATCCAAAAACGAGTGTTTATGGTAAAATGAATATGAAATTATTTCCTTGATTTCGTGAAAATCAGAGGGTTGTTGAATTGATATGAATAAGATTGCATTCAAAAATGAATGTTGATGATAAAATAAATATGAAATTATTTATGTAGTTTCATAAAAATGAGAGGCTTGTTGAATTGATCTGAGCAAGATTGCATTCAAAAATGAATGCTGATACCAGATAAATATGCAATTACTTGTTTAATTTCGTGAAAATGGGAGGGTTGTTGAATTGATCTGAGCAAGATTGCATTCAAAATGAATGTTGATAATAAAATAAATTTGAAATTACTTCTTTAATTTCATGAAAATGAGAGGCTTGTTGAATAAATCTTATGAAGATTGCATTCAAAAAATGACTATTAACGATAAAATAAATATTATGTTTTTTCTTGAATTTCATGACAATGATAGGGTTGTTGAATTGATCTGACCAAGATTCCATTCAAAAATAAATGTTGATGTTAAAATAAATTCGAAATTACTTCTTTAATTTCATGAAAATGAAAGGGTTGTTGAATAAATCTTAAGAAGATTGCATTCAAAAACGAGTGTTTATGGTAAAATAAATTTGAAATTATTTCTATAATTTCATAAAATGAGACGGTTGTTGAACTGATATTATTAAGATTGTATTCAAAAATGACTGTTAATGATAAAATAAATATGAAATTATTTGTTTAATTTTATAAAAATAAGAAGATTGTTGGATTGATCTTATCAAGTTTGCGTTAAAAAATGAATGTTAATGATGAAATAAATATGAAACTATTTCTTCAATTTTATGACAATCAGAGGATTGTTGAATTGATCTTATAAGCATTCCGTTCAAATATGTATGTTAATAATAAAATAAATATGAAATTATTCCTTTACTTTCATAAAATGAGAGTAGTGTTGAACTGATCTTATCAAGATTGCATTCAAAAATGGAGGTTGATCATACAACAAATATGAAATTATTTGTTTAATTTCGTGAAAATGAGAGGCTTGTTGAATTGATCTTACGAAGGCTATATTCAAAAATGAATGTTGATGATAAAATAATGTGATATTATTTCTTTAATTTCATGGCAATGAGACGCTTGTTGAATTGATCTGAGCAAGATTGCATTCAAAAATGAATATTGATGATAAAATGAATATGATATTGTTTCTTGCATTTTATGACAATGAGAGGGCTGTTGAATTGATGTTACGAAGGCTGTATTCAAAAATGAATGCTGATGCCAGATAAATATGAAACTATTTGTTTAACTTCATGAAAATGAGAGTAATGTTGAACTGATCTTATCAAGATTGCATTCAGAAATGGATGTTGATGATACAACAAATATGAAATTATTTGTTTAATTTCGTGAAAATGAGAGGCTTGTTGAATTGATTTTACGAAGGCTATATTCAAAAATGAATGTTAACGAGAAGATAAATATGATATTATTTGTTTAATTTTATAATAATGAGAGGGTTGTTAAATTGATCTTATCAAGGTTGTATTCGAAAATTAATGTTAATGATAAAGTAAATATGAAATTATTTGTTTAATTTCGTGAAAATGAGACGGTTGATGAATTGATCTTATCAGAACTATATTCAAAATTGAATGTTAGTGATAAAATAAATATGAAATTATTTATGTAGTTTCATAAGAATGAGAGGCTTGTTGAATTGATTTTACGAGGGCTGCATTCAAAAGTGAAAGTTGATCATAAAATAAATATGAAATTATTTTTTTAATTCCATGACAATGTGACGGTTGTTGAATTGATCTTAAAAAGATTGCGCTCAAAAATGACTGTTAACGATAAAATAAATATTATGTTTTTTCTTGAATTTTATGACAATGAGAGGGATGTCGAATTGATCGTATAAACATTTCATTCAAATATGAATGTTAATGGTAAAATAAATATGAAAGTATTTCTTTAATGTTATGACAATGAGGGGGTTGTCAAATTAATCTAATTGTCATTAGTTTTATCGGTAATATAGTGGGTATTGTTCTTTTTAAAATTCCGCTATTGTTAGTTGATGGCTTTATATATATATGAATAGAAATAATATTCATGCTTGTTTTGTCTTGCTTTATTTTTGTTTTGAATGTGTTGCTCGGGAGTTGCTAGAATTTCAGTAAGAATATCCTTTTATTAAATATGTTTTTAGTGGATTTATTGTAAAAGTGGTAAAGTTATATCAGAGCTAGTTGCTTATGCTCCGAAGAAATTGAGTTGGCGTGGATGTGTGGGTTGATGATTATGGTATCCACACTCACATCGATACCCGGATGTCTTGTTTAACGTATGCCACAAGACTTAGATAGCCCTACGCTCTCATACTCTTATATTGCACATATCTTTATAGCCGATGTAGCCTTTGCTCTTATAGCCTAATTTCCTTTGTGGCTCTTGTAATCTTATCACCTCACTTCCCTCAAGGTGTATGGGCACTTCTATAGAGTAGTCTTTGAGGATCCAAGAGTATTTCTATACAATAGCCATTGAGGTCTTGACTATTCCCGTTGAATAGCTCATGAGGACTCAGTGGCGTAGTCAGCAGTTTCTGAAGTATGAGCTATTTCCCAGCAAAATTAATATGAGGACTGGGTAGCAACGGACAATTAAAAATCAATTAGCCTATAATTTAAAAACTCATTGCCGTCACAATAACCATATTAATTGAAGAAAAATTCATCACTCTCTAGTAAGAGTCGAGATCACTCACTTTCTTGTACTGTTTCACAAATGTACTTTTCAACTTTCAAATACAATTGTTTGCAAAAAAACTTGGATTAATCTCACAACACAAGGATTAAATGTTATTTAGATTCTCTTGAGCCTTTGTTTTGTAGTCATTGTAGATATATACTAAGCAGCTTATCTACTAAAAATATCTA